AAGATATGGGGCAGAGCTGCAGCTGACTTGCAGACAAGTGGCTTCAGTGAGAAATTAACCTTTGTTGGGATAAATCATAAAGATTTGGGAGGGTTCCCATAGCATAACAGAGGAGAATCAGGGAGGGCAGTTAGGAGCTGAAAGGTGATCCTAGCTTGGATTGGAAAGATAGCAATAGAGATCCTGAGATGTTGTCAGATCAGGATACATATTGAAGGTCAAGTGCAAAGCATGTGCTGATGGACTGATGTAGGGTGTGAAGGAAAGAGAAGAGTCAGAGCCGGGCTCGGTGGCTCAGCCTGTAATCCCAGCACTTTGGGAGCCTGAGGTGAGTGGATTGCCTGAGCCTATGGGTTCGAGACCTTCCTGGGCAACTTGGCGAGACCTCATCTCTACAATAAATCAAAAATGAGCCGGGCGTGGTAGCGCACGCCTGTAGTTCCAGCTACTTGGAAGACTGAGGCGGAAGGATTGCCAGAGCCCAGCAGGTGGAGACTGCGGTGGCCGGGAACGGCCACTGCACTCCAGTCTGGGCGACAGTGAGACTCCAACTCAAAAAAAAAAAAAAGAAAGAGAAGAGTCAAGGATAACTCCAAGGATTATGACCTGAGAAAGGGGGAATTACTGAAAAAAAGAACACCCAGGAAAGTACAAGATTACTCACAGTGGCCAGGTACACACAAAACTACAAAATGCAAGCTCTATGGTTATCACCTTGAGAGGGCAAGTAATATGGGACATAGATGCTTGGGGAACTTTTCAATCCAGAATGATGAAAACTCAGATTTACTGAAATTTAACTTATATACAGTACATTTTACTTTTAAATTTTTTTTGTATTTTTAGAGATGAGGGCTCACTGTGTCACCCAGGCTGGAGTGCAGTTATGTGATCATATTCATTGAAGTCTCAAACTCCTGGACGCAAGTGAACCTTCCATCTCAGCCTCTGAAGTAGCTGGGACTACAGGCATGCACCCCTGGCTAATTTTTATTTTATTTGTTTTTGAGACAGGGGTTTCACTATGTTGCCGAGGCTGGTCTTGAATTTCTGGCCTCGAGTGATCTTCCCTCCTCAGCCTTCTAAGTGGCAAAATTGACTCTTTGTTGTACAGATCTATGCTGACAAATGCATTTTGTTTTGTAAGCATCTCCCCAATCAAGATGTAGACTATTTCGACCACTACACACTACACCCCTCCCAAATTCTCTTTTGCTGCCCCTCCCTTTGTAGCCCAATCCTCCCTTCACCCCTTAGCCTCTGGCAACCGCTGAGCTGTTCTCCAGTTCTATAATTTTGCTTTTTCCAGGAAGCCACATAAATGGAATCACACAGAATGTAACCTTGGAGACTGGCTCCTTCCACTTAGGATAATGCATTTGAGATTCATCCATGTTGCACAAATCAGTAGCTTGGTCCTTTTAATTGATGAGTAGTATTCCATAGTATGGATGTACCACAATTTGTTTAACATATCACCAGCTGAAGGGTGTTTGGGCTGTTTCCAAATTTTGGTGATTATGAATAAAGCTGCTATACATATCTGAATACAGGTTTTTATGTGAACATATGTCTTCCCTTCTCTTGGTAAACTCCTAGGAGTGGGACTGCTGGCTCATATGGTAAGTGTATGTTTCACTTTATAAGAAACTGCCAAACTGTTTTTCCAGAGGAACTGCACCATATTGTACTCCCACTGGCAATGTGTGAGGGTCACTCCACATCCTCCCCAGCACTTGGGATTGTCAGTTTCTTTGATTTAAGCCATTCTAATGTGCAGTGGCATCTCACTGAGGTTTTAATTTGCATTTCCCTCATGAATACTGATGTGGAGCATCTTTTCATGTACTTATTAGCCATTTGTATATCTTTTGGCAAAGTGTCCAGTCACATCTTTTGCTCATGTTTTTATTAGGTTGTGTTTCTTAGTGTAACCATCAAAGTTGTGTTTTGCAAATATTTTCTCTCAGTCTGTGATTTGTCCTTTCATGTTCTTTTGTTTGTTTTTGTTTTGAATCAGGGTCTCATTCTGTTGCCCAGGCTGGAGTGCAGTGGCGTGACCACAGCTCACCAAAGCCTCGACCTCCTGGGCTCAGGCAATTCTTCTACCTCAGCCTCCCTAGTAGCTGGGATTACAGATACAAGTCACCACACTCAGCTAATGTTTTAAAATTTTGTGTAGAGATGAGGTCTCACTATGTTGCCCAGGTTGGTTTTGACCTCCTGGGCTCAAGCAGTTCTCCTGCGTTGGTCTCTCAAAGTGCTGTGATTGCAGGTGTGAGCCACTGCACCCAGCTCCATGTTCTTAACAGTGTCTTTCAAAGAGCCAACGTTTTAAATTTGAATGAAGTAGAAATTATCAATTTTTTCTTTTATTAATCATGATTTTTGTTTCAAATCTAGGAAGTCTTTGCCTACACAAGGTCACAAAGATTTTCTCATATATATATATATATATTTTTTTTTTGTTTGTTTGTTTTGAGTTGGAGTCTTGCTCTGTCATCCAGACTGGAGTACAGTGGCCGCTTTGACCTGCTGGGCTCCAGCGATCCTTCCGCCTCAGTCTTCCAAGTAGCTGGAACTACAGGCACTACCACGCCCAGCTAATCCTATATTTTTTATCTAGAAGTTTGATAGGTTTAAGTTTTACACATAGGTCTATGATCTAGTTTGAGTTAATTTTTGAAAATGGTGTGAGGTACAACTCAGGACAACTGACTTGTGATATTCCTACTGTGGTAGAGGCAGATCAATAAAACTTCACATCTTTGATAAGCATGTGCACAAGTGACACTGTAACCTGTTGCAAAATCTGGTTAAGGTTCAACACAGATGGTCAAGGGAAGCTCCACCTCCCTGTGACTGTGTTCCTTTAGAAGTTAATCCTATCTTGAACATCAGTCTCCAGATGTCCTCAGTGATAGTAGCACAAGTCCTGAGACTTTAAAAGTGAAACGAGCTAGGTTCTCTCCAATTTATAACACTCCAGCTCCAGGTAGTTGCTTCAAGAAAGAATGTTCTCTCTTAAAGCACTAAAGGAAAATTCCGTGCAAAGTTGGGCATTCATTCTTAGCAATTAGAGTTGAAATCGTAACCTTCCTAGCTTTAGTCCTTCTTGGATGACTTTTTCAGTCACTATATGATATGTTTCCCCCTTCTTCTTCCCCTCAATCACACCAGCTCTGAAAGCTTCATTGAAGTCACTTAGATCTTGATACCCTTAAAACTTCAAGGATAAAATCAGTGAGGGGAGAGGGCTGAGAAACCAACACAGAATTTTCAACTGGTGATTTAGCCAACTGAGGACATTTTAAGAATAGTAACTACCATATACTATGGCCATCCTTCCATTAAAGAAGGGGCATTTACGTTCTCTAACTCTCTGAGAAAAGAAAAAAGTAAAAGGTCATCATCTCAGAATGAAAAATAATCTTTCCCAAGAATCAACCATTAGTAATTTACTTGAACATAGGAAAGTAGTCATACATTTACCCCTTATTTTTCTCATTTCATTGCAGATAGGTGAAAAACTCTCACCCCAGACCACAGTGGGGGACTCAGACCCTATTAAGGTGTAATGTGGGTGGGGCAGATGTAAGCCTTGAGAAAATTGGAGAAAGGCCCTTTTCTCACTTGTTTATAATACCTTTATTGGGTATTTCTAAGGTTCAAAGTCCTGGGCTTAGGGAGTTTTCAGATTTCCCTCTGGGGAGTAGCACTTGCAAATTTCAAGGCAGGAGGAAGCGGAGTTGATAGCTTTCCAGACCCTCTCCTTGGCAAGCACGGTGACTTTTGCTTCTTTCTTCAGCTAAAGAAATGAGGAAGCCCACCCAAGCTGCTCTTCATGGTCTGAATCCCTGGCCATTTTAAAGGTCCTTGCACAACCTCCCTCCCCCAGGGGTGTGCTCTTCCAGCAGCTCATTCATGAAGGCAGACCACTGACGGTCCCAGGTAGACAAATATTCTTGGGAAACACATCAGTGACTTCCATGGCATTCAGGATAAAGACCTCACTCCCAACTCAGCCCACCCTGCCACACGGATCTGTCCAGTGTGCGCCTCTCTTGCCTCATCTCTGCTCTCTTTCAGGTCTCTGGCCACAGCTGCTTGCCTATAGCTCCTTAAAGCACCAGAGCCCTGACTGCTCTTGCCTGCTTCTCCTAGGCAACCTGCATTTTTCCAGGGACATACCGCTCGTCCCCACGCACTACATCAACATACTCCTCAGTATCCTCTCTCCTTGCATCATGTATTTTGTCTTTGCGGCAACTGTCACAATTATCATTCATTACTTGTGTAACGTCTGACTCCTCAACTAGAATGTAAACTCCAAGAGATTAGGAATCTAGTCTACATATCTGATCTTCCAGTCCCTGGCATGGGCATGACAACTCGTTGCTGCTCAATATATTGTTGTTAAATGGAAGAAATTTGCTTCAACACATGTGTACCAGGCACTGTTTTAAGCACTTGCTATAAACTAGTCTGGGGAAAACACAACAGAAAAAAAATCCCTGCCGTTATGGAGTTTATGTTCTACTGGACCAAGAGTCTGCTAAACAAGACAAGTGAACACAGGGGTATGTTAGATGGTGGTAAGTACCAAGCAGAAGAAAAGTAAGGCAGGACAGAGGGACATGAGATGTCAAGCTGTGGGGTGGTGTGTGAACAGGGAAAAACTCCCAGAGAATGAGAATGTGACTTTTAAGTAAAGACCTGCAGGAACTGAGGCTGCTGACAATGTGGGTTTCTGGGGAAAGAGCATTCCAGGCAGAAGAAAGCAAGTGCAAAAGCCCTGAGGCCCTGAATGTAGTAAACTGTTCCAGGAACAGTGAAGAAGCCAGTGTGAGTGAAGTCAATAGGGGAAGGGAGTAAAAATGTGGACTTTTAATCTGTCCTACAGATTTGTTTATACTGGCTATTTCTTGGGCAATGCTTCTAACCAGCATCTACACTAAAACCATGGATTTCCAATGATTTGCCTTTAAAGGAAACACGAAATGGAAGTTCACAATAGGAAAGAGAGGAGCAGGGAAGGGCTGGCAACTCTCACTTGTATGCTTGCCCCACACTTGTCAAAGGCAACACTTTGGGGGAAGATTTGTCCTCTACCCAGCTCTGGGTAAAAACCACCACTCTAGAATCACAGCACGTTTTGCCAAGAACCACACTGCTCCAGAGCACACTGTTTCAGAAGCAGTCCCATTTGGCTCCTAGAACTACAAGGAGACACATTCAATAGATATTTACCTCCAACATATGAATGAAATTGGAGCTTCTAAAGTTGCAAACTGTGAGTCTAAAAAGTTCTTACAAATTAGTTCTCTATTTTAGAACTTTTTCTTAAAAAAAAAATTAAAAAGCTTTTTTGAAAAGGTAATACAGGACAAAGACAAAAAGATATTCTAAAAAAGGTCAATCTCCAATGGATAAATTACAGTGTATTTGCAACAGAATTCTACACACTGAAGCAAACAAACAAAAATGAACTACTGATGTAGGCAACAACATGAACATCACAAATGTTGCGCAAAAGGTGCCAGCCAGACACAAGAGTACATACCACATGACCTACGTATGTGATGTTTATGAACAGGCAAAATGAATCTTTGGTAACAGAAGTTGGAATAGTGGTTACCTATTACTGGTGACCTTCTTTCACTACCTATGACTCCCTGCAACCTAGCTATCCTCCCTAGCGGCCACTCCTCCAGCTAGTGTTTCTTTCTTATTTTTTTTTTTTTTTTAGTTGGAGTCTCACTCTGTCGCCCAGACTGGAGTGCAGTGG